TTCCAACACACGCTGCCCCTTGAGAAGGCGTTGAGCGTCAAAATCGAGACATCTCATGATGCTATGATTTATGTACGGAGTAGAAAAGGTAGAGAAGTTTTTTTTTCAGGACACAACGGATACCCCTCGCGCGTCTTGGTAAAGGAACAAGCGCCGAGATTTCATGGATTTGACAAGGAACTTGACATGGAGCTTCAGGCAGCACAGGCGCAGCTGGGTAAGGAATCATTCTTTTTCTTTTTGGGGGGAAGGGGCTGAAGGGAGACAAAAGCCTTATCTTATCATTTTGCGATTCGGAGTGAATGGGTTGGCGACGGCCCTTCATCATCTCCTTGTACTTCCACTTCACCACGGGCTCGGTGCGCCTCGTCATCTACACTTCGACCGGAGGTAGAAGCGAGACACGAGCCGCGCACTCTTTGACACACTTTTTGGTACTTCTCTACTCTCTTTAAGAACACTTTTATAGAACACCCTTTTTATGACATTTTTGACACGAAGTACGGAAGAACATATACCCCTTTTGGAGAAGTATAGATGGGACATGAATAGAAAGGAAGCCCCTTGGACCTTACGATGCCGATGTGTGCAGGTGAATGTGTGAGTGTGAAGGCAGGTGGTGTGAGTGGAGCCCAAAACAAGGGGTCTGGTAGAACTACCCAACAGCAGTTAGTCCAATGCGCCCACGGCGGGGGATAAGCCGATGAATAAAGTCCGAACGACTGGGGGGATCCCACGGGTTCGCAGTGCCATCTACTCGCAGAACCATTTTGACATCAATTGAATTCCCGACTACCGCGAACGTATGGGCTCCAATGTCTGATGGACAGCCGGCCTGTCGCCCCAACCATCCAAACCAGGCTTCGAAAGACAACAAGACACGAGGGAAAAGAAGTGGTGGAAACGTGAAATACAACAGAAACAAACACAATCGAGACCGCGTCGTTCAGGTGACGTGGAGCCTGTTAGGCTGCATCTCGACTTGGTGCGTCGCGATTGGGCAAACCTTGGTGCCTCTTGACGGTGAGGCCAAAGAGGAAGCCAAGGGGCGTACCGAGCAGTAATGCGCAGGCTCAGTCGTCTCATGTGGGGGGAGTGCCATGGGCGCTTGCGCCGAATGAGGCCTCCATGAGTATTGATCTCCTGCGACTTGGGACGATTGTTGTGCCGGGTGCTGTGGCTCAACTGTGGCGGAGGCCAGGGCAGCTTCCCACCGCCTCGAACGAACCCTGAGAGCCTGAAAGTGTTTTCCCTAACTTCCCACCCCACTTCCCACTCTTCTCTAGACCGACACGACCCCTCGATCGACCCAATTGAAGTCTTTTTTAAACTTTGTCAAGAAGTGATTGATTTGCCTGCTGGGAAGACGAACCGGTTCTCGGCTGGCATTCACTAGAAATCGTTCGTCATGGCGCAAAAAACGACCCTCAAGGAGTTTGAGGCCGTGTATCCCAAGCTCGAGGAAGCTATTTTGGAACATGCGCGCAAGTATAAGCTTCCCCAAGGGGAGCTTGACTGGCTGAAGACTGTGAGTAGCTTTGCGCATTATTATCCCACGGCCGTTTCTTGGTTGCTTGTTTCATCTCGTTTGTCAAGACACAGACGGGGGCGGCTTGACTGGCTTCGTGCTGTTCAATGCCCCTTTGCCGACGGGTATACTAACGCTCGATAGAACCTCGAGACCAACCCCCTCGGCGGGAAGTGCAACCGCGGCATGTCTGTCCCCGATTCCGTCTCTCTCCTCCTCGGCGCCGCCCTCAACGAGGAACAATACTTCCAAGCCGCCACCCTTGGCTGGATGACGGAGCTCCTGCAGGCCTTCTTCCTCGTATCGGACGACATGATGGATGGTAGCATCACGCGTCGCGGCAAGCCCTGCTGGTACCGCCAAGAGGGCGTAGGCATGATCGCCATCAACGACGCCTTCATCCTCGAGTCGAGCATCTACGTGCTCCTCAGGAAATACTTCCGCAGCCACCCGGCCTACATCGACATTGTCGAGCTCTTCCAGGAGACCACCTTCCAGACCGAAATGGGTCAGCTGTGCGACCTGCTCACCGCCCCGGAGGACAAGGTCAACCTCGACAACTTCTCCATGACAAAATACCGGTTCATCGTCATCTACAAGACCGCCTACTACTCCTTCTACCTGCCCGTCGCCCTGGCCCTGCACCAGCTCAACCTCGCCACGCCCAAGAACCTCAAGCAGGCCGAGGACATTCTCATCCCCCTCGGCGAGTACTTCCAGATCCAGGACGACTACCTCGACAACTTTGGTCTCCCCGAGCATATCGGCAAGATCGGCACCGACATCAAGGACAACAAGTGCTCTTGGCTGGTCAACCAGGCGTTGGAGATTGCCACGCCCGAGCAGCGCAAGATTCTGGAGGACAACTACGGCCAGAAGGAAGATGCCAAGGAGGCGGTCATCAAGAAGCTGTACGACGACATGAAGCTCAAGGAGCGCTACGAGGCGTTTGAGGAGAAGAGGGCCGGCGAGATTCGCGCCATGATTAAAAGGGTTGACGAGAGTGAGGGCCTGAAGAAGGGCGTGTTTGAGGTGTTCCTCAACAAGATCTACAAGCGAACCAAGTAAACTGCTCTGTGGGGGCTACGGCATTTAAAAAACAAACCAACAACAAAATGAGAAAATTAATGAGGTAGACGGCATGCATGGATGGAAGCGTGGTTGCTTAAACGTACAATGTTTGGTAGATTTTCATTATGGTACACAAAAGGTACAGTTAAGGTTTTGATTTCATTCGCCTTATATGCATGAGGGCCTGCAAGGGTCCTAGTTTGGCCGTCGGTCTTATCAACAGAGTGCCACATGTGACTGCAGTGTAACGAAGATGATGGTCTCCGCCTGGGCCGGTCAGTGGAGGAGTAGTATGCGAAATATGCTTGGTATTAGGCCGGGACGAAGTGTGCCACAGCCAGTGCACGGGCTAGGTATGTCTGGGTCTCGAATAGATGACGAGCAAATTACATGGAGAGGGTGTACTCCGTACCTTTTTCGCATTGATGAAAAACTACGCCATCAGTTGTGCGCAAGCATGTCTCTCTCGCGCTGGAAATGCCACGTGTCGGAGGAAACCTGATTCACGTCATGCAGTACTCCGTACCACCACCGCCGATAATCGCCGCCGCGTCCGTTCTGT